GGAGAATGGTTTGACAATAGATTCCTCTCTTCCCTTGGCTCCTTCCAACCTTCCAGATAGAAGCCTGCCCCCTGCAAAGAGCACAGGCAAAGATGTATTAGCATAAATAATTTATTGTAAACTCTCTAATAGCATACACTGGTGAGCCTGACAATTCACTCCAGAGGATTCTGGGATGGAGGAGCCAGGAGATAGGGAGTGTCGTGAGTGTAACCTGTGAGGACTGATTGCTAAGGGGCAGATTTCATGCCGTAGCCTACTGGATACGTAGGCTGACCAGTCGCGGTCAGCCAAGCTGCATTGGGCAAGAAGGAGCTGGGCCAGGCCAGGAACACAAAGTTCTCCTTTGGCCAGTTCAGCTGAGGTTTCCAGGCCTTCCTCCTGCTTCCTCACTCATGGGCTTGTGCAGGGAGGGAGGCGTGTTAAGCTGCCAGGCTTGCGGGTGCTACCAGTTGAGCGTGGGGACCCCAGTCTAGTCCTTGGCTGGGGAAGGCCTCCAGGGACTTGGGCTTTCATTGCAGTATCTTCAGACGGGTCGGGATGAGGGATGAGGCCCTGCCCTTGGGGGGCTGCTCTCCCTCTGTGGCGTCAAGGAGCTGCCGCATGTAGCAGGAGGTGCCGAGGAGCACATGGCCTGTGGCCTGCATGCTGAAGAGGGCCCACCGGAGAGCTTCCCTGGGTGGAATGAAAAGACACTCAAGTCAAAAACAGGAAGCATACCCCTCCCCACATCCCCTAAATGCCTCCTCCCCCATACTCCCATGGTGGCCTGGAAGGAATTAGTTTCATTATGTTCGTTTTCTTCATTAATAAAATCTGAATACCACTGAGGTGGTAGGACTAAAACCATTTCATGAATTCTAGAGTGATGTGCAAACAGAAATAGATGCTGCCTTCCCTCGGTAAAGGGAGAGGGTCTACAGGCATGACCTGCAGTCGTACCCTGAGATGTCCAGAACCTCCCTACTGTCGCATGCGAAACTCAAGCTCATTCAATAAGGCCTTTTATTTTTATAATACTACTTTGGACTAGCCATATTAATCTATGTAACATGGCTCTGCCCTTCATGGCACTCTGTTCTAGACTCTGAGGCCTTTCCAAGTCACTTGTAATCTAGTTCGTTTTCAGAGTGTTGGACATGAAGACCCCCACACCTGGTTGTTACCATGAACTGAGAACTTGAATCAGAGGCCTGAGTTCTAATCCAGTCTCATTAGCTATGTGAACTTTAGCAAACTTCTCTAGTTCTGAGCTTCAGCTTCCTCATCTGTAAAATGGGCTAGTACCTGCTACCCAAGGTTGTGAAGTTGAAGTAACGTAAATCACTCAACACGCATCTGATGTTTAGAAAGTACATGGGAGCAAGAGCAGCTGGTGGAATGCTAGACAACTTTAACCAAATTCTCATCAAATCTGTTTAAAAGAGATAGGTGAAGGTCACTAGAGGCATCTAGTCCTAGGGAGGATGAGGAGGGGAAGACAAAAGGAAAAGAAATGCTCTTTGGCTATTGTTAAAACTTTAGTCTTCTATTAATCTTCATTCGAGAGGTGAACTTATGCTCTGGTTGGGGTGGAGGGGGCAGAAAGACACTTAGAACCATGAATATCTACACATGAAAATATGTTACATTTTAAAAGGCTATACCTGAGAAGTATACCCATTTTTTAAACTGAGGCTTAAAACCTAGCTGACAGCCTTAAAAAGGAATAAAATTCTGATACATTCTATAATATGGATGAACCTTGAAAACACGCTAAGTGAAAAAAGCCAGACACAAAAGGACAAGCATTTTTCTGATTCCACTTATATGAAGTTCCTAGAATAGGCAAATTGATAGAGACAGAAAGTAGAATGGAGGTTACCAGGGGCTGGAGGGAGAAGGAATGGAGAGTTATTGTTTAATGGGTACAAGAGTTTCTGCTCGGGATGATGAAAGAATTCTGGGAATGGATGGTGGTGAGGGTTGCACAACATTGTGAATG